GAATGTGCCATAGAATGAAAGTGATGGATGAATGGGACAGGACTGGATCTTCTGTCGAGCTGAAAGGAAACCGCTCGAGACGAGCTTTGTCTTAAGAGGGGAGCGGATGTACCGGACGAAGAATAGTCGCTGCAAGAAGAGTAGCCGCAACAACAGGAGATGCTGCAAGAACAGCCACCGAGGAAAAGGAACGGGGATGCATCGTTAGGATATTCGGGACGAACAGCCTTAAGGAGGGAGCAGTGTGACATGTTGACCCCTACCTCCCCAGCGGTATGTGGCGCTAAAGTAACGCTCGCGTTATTACGGTAATAGGCGAGTTCCCGCCCCGCCACTCCCCTCCGCGGTGACGTCACCGAGGGATATCGCGGTCGCTAGGCAACGCGAGTCAACAGCGGCGACGTTATGGTAGTAACAGCGGATACCTCCGCTAGCGTTACATAGCAACACAGCGACATAGCAACAAGGGTGCCTATTACGTGGCCGTTTTACCGTATTGTCCGATCGAGGCTACATACGGAGCAGCGAAGGCTATTCACAGTAGAGTTGTACTCAGAGAGTCAGTCAGTCCTGGAGCTACCGCCGAGTTAGCCAGCAACCAGTCAGTTGTATTCTGGCATTGGGAGTATACTAATTGTGATACTGCAGATAGCAGTAATCGTCAGATTGTAATATGGGTGATTGTAAGAGCGAGTGTGAAATAAAATTCGCTACATCAAATTCATCGAGAAGTTATTTGTCGCGTCATACCCCCGATTCGCGACAATATATTACACAAAAAAATACAATGTCACACAAGAAAATTTAAAATTCACTTTACACTTGACAACACTCTAAACAAAACAACACACTATACACACCACTTAGTCACACAGAACTAAGACATAAATTCAAAAAATTACTTCTTCAATGGGAACTAGAAATTCACTTTACAAACTTCTGTATCCAGTGTGGCTGAATGGAAATCCTAACTTTCTTGAAACACTACAATAACTCACTACACATCACTCTATATATTACACACAAAAATACAATGTCACACTACAAAATATAAACTTCATTTTACACTTGAAAACACTGTAATCAAAACAACACACAATATACACACCACTCAGTCACAGAGAACTAAGGAATAAATTCAAAAAATAACTTCTTCAATGGTAACTACAAATTCAATTTGCACCCTCTTCTTACAAGTAATTATAATAATACAAAAAAAATATATCATTCTGACTAACAACCTACACACACATGTAACATTCAGAAGATACCTACCAAAACTACACCCTCTTTTCTGTCATACCAAATATGCACCCATTACATATAATTCACTCTCCATCTCTATAACCACTAGAAAACATTTCTTCCAAACCACTCCACATAATTCACACGATATTATTAATAGTGCAAGAACAAACTGAAAGACACATTGCCTCATTACACACCCACTATACTTATATTCACTTAATTTCGTTAAATCACATTTATCATGTATTCTTCCTTCACACATATTTCAGTTTCATTGTTCAGAAGCAAAATACTTCGATTTCGTTGTGGAACAGAGGAAACTCATGTTTGTAATATTTCGTGCACTGGCCATTACTCGGTCCAGGATAATACACATATTAACACCTACCATTTGCAATATCTCACTGAATCTTTAACATAAACTTTCAGGCACACAATTAATAACAACATGTACATATATGTATATAAACATACACATAACACCCTCTTATTATTTATAAATACCTCTTTATACCAGGAAAGAAACCAACCTTGATGGTGCACACCGGGTATTTAGGTCACACTGACAGGGCAGCCAACCTTTTAACATGACTGAAACAGAAACATTCGAATATCAGTCCGATTACAGGACGGTAATTTTTCACCCTATCTTTAACCCATTTTCGTGTATAAAATTATTCGACTTCCTATACACGAAGGGAAATTCGGGCGAAACCAATGCCCACCACTCACTCAATTGGTCGCGTATCCATATACGAGAAAGAAGGGAACGATTTCAATGACAAGAAAGATTTTCGTCATAAATTTATGCCATTGGAAGGCAGCAAAATGCCATAATATGTGATATTCAGTAATCTTTTATATTACCGTGTGGGAATCGCAAACTCTTGAGGTGGGAGCGGTGTTTTCGACACAATCTAAGCTATCACGTAGCAATATAACTTCGGAATATAAAAACAAAAATTTATACTTTGGGTGGAAAAACAGTTAAGACGCTCAATTTTATACATAACGTCATATTTCGACTTATATTCCACGTTACGACAGTCCTATATTACGTTCGGTTAAATAGCAGCTTCGTAAATAACGTCTCTTGTGTGTGCGCGCAATGAACTACTGCGCACCCACCTGTAAACCTGGGGGCTGGCCCT